AGATTTAAGGGAGAAGGAAAAACAGGAACCAGAAGAACAGGGAGAGACCTCTCTTCCTGCTTCATTTCCTTCTCTGGGGAATAAGGAAGATTTTTTTTCTAGTGAGGATGAGGACCGATTGGAGCCTTTTTCTCCCCTAATAGAAAAGCTATTTCCCTCTTTTCCTCCATCCTTAAAGAGACATGCATCTGTTGGCCCCGTTCAGACAACATTGCCTCCCATCCACCTTAATGAGATTAGAGGCCACCCAAGGGACAGTTCTTGGATAAGACCCCTGGTCAGCGAACATCTATATGATTGGGTGAACATGTCCTCAATGATGGCCCCGTGACAAACTTTTCTGCTGGATGGGTGCTTCCAGGAGGCAAGGAAAGTCCCCAATGATGGCCCTTTGACAAACTTCCCTGCTAGAGGGGTGCCTCTAGGAGGCAAGGAAAGTGGCCGATTATGATTGTCTTCCTAGTATGCAAGTTCTTACTTTCTGCTTCCAGCATCGGACTTCCTGGCCTTGTCTTTTCTGTTTTCCTGGAGCATAAGGGAAAGTTGCGTGCTGCTTCCTGGGTTTTATCCCAGATAGCTCTGGCTTTGTTGCTGCACATAGAGGCCTGGGGCAGGAGAGTTGCTAAGATGCCATGGAGTGCTCATTTATTCACCAGCAGTCTTGGCAAGTTGTGCCTTTCTGGGTTTGCAGTGACGGAGGGGAGGCCAAGAGGCACAGACCAAGTCCCCAAGTGGCTGCTGTATCTCCAGCCCAGTCCTAAGGATCCTCCTCACCATGGTCATGTGCCTTAGTAACTGTGCCCAGAAAATGGCCTGCTGCTTGCTGTGCTGCTGCTTTTCCTACTTCTGCCCATCACTGCCACTTCTCACATGTCTCAGTTGACAAGCAATTCCTTGTCTTCCCTGGGTCTTTAGGTAAAGGGCTGAGAAACAGTCCATGTGCACTCCAACCTTACTACCCTATGGTGGCAGGGTGGTGTAGAGCAGCCTAGAGTACAGAGCCCTGGGGGAGGAGCACTCTAATAAGGGGCCCTCCCATAGCCATATGTTAAATGCTAACTAGGCTGAGGTAGATGAGCTCTGCCAGCTGGTGTCTTCTTCAGAAGATAGATGCAGCAGTAAGGAATGTTTGTTTCATTTTTGAATGAAATGTTTAAAAACACTGTGACTGGGAAACTTCAAGGCAGATCTGTGCTACAAGTCTGCTCCTCCCCTGAGCCTCTCTGCTTGAGGATAGTAAAAATAATAAAAAGTCCAGTATGTTTTCAGTACCCTACCTAATAGGGTTGGCTCCAGGCATAGGTGGCCTGGAAGATAGGGGAGTGGTCTTCTCCCAGTCTGTTACCCTCTTGCCTCCTGCCTCCATGCTTACACACACACACTTTACCCCCTGGTGAAGTAAGCATGCCTTTTATTGCCTCTTACTGCCACTTGTAGTCTTCCTTCCTTCCTTCCTTTTAGGGTACGGGCAGCAACAGGTGGCAGGCTATTAAAAAGAGAGGCTGCCTAAGGAGCCCAGAACAAATAAAAAGAAACCAGCCACAGCCCTAGTTTCTGAAGCTTGCTTCTAAGACATTCCAGTGAAAGGCTAATGCAAGAAAATGGCCAGCACCTCAGGACGTTCTTAAAAGTTGTTTTTTTTTGTTTGTTTGTTTTTAATATATATATACACTTAAGCTAACTCAATGCAGATTTATTATCCTGGCTACTTGCAGTCACATTCTAATGATTTTCAAGGGCCAAAATATGGTAAAAAAAAATCACTTAAAATATCCATCCTTTCCATGCCTTACTTTAGCAGCTAGTGTTTATCTTTTGCCATTTCTGTACTTTATGTGCTATTTACCTGTCTCATAACCCTTCTAAACATATACAAAAAAACACAGATTTAGTAGCATCTCTTCTCATAAAGACACATTGGTGTTGTGTCCAATTGTCAGGATATTACCCTGCTACCCTTTTTCTACTGTTAGGCAAGGAACAATTTCATACTGTCTTAGCTTGTGATCTTGATTGGCAAGTAGCAATGGCTGACTTTATTGGTAATGTACCCTGACTAGGGCTGCAAAACCAGGAATTTTTAAAAAGTGTTTTGTGTCTAAAAGATCTTTTATCAATTTTGTACTTAAAAGATCTTTAGTAAACTAAGAGGAGGCATTAAACAAATGCTCTGGCCAAGAGATAGAGTGACAGTTGAAATTTAGCCTACTTCTTGTCTTGCCGATTTTATTGATAGTTCAGGCAAAAGGAAGTGAGAATATTCAATACAGTAGGAATGTAAAAAGACGACAAGTTTGAGAGGCATTTAAAAATGTGTTCAGATGTGTTTGTACTCTGAATAACAGTGGGTTTTGGGGGATCATGGTGGAGCTGTTATACATGGAGATGATATAAATAAGTGTGTGGCAGTGGATTAGTTTTCTTTTTTCAAGTGATTTTAGACCAGGCCAAAAAAAAAAAAAAAAAAGATTCAGGGAGGGATTTTGAGGTAATAACTAATAAAATGACACACTGAGGAATAAGAAGCAGTGAAGGAAACTCAGAAGAAATGGAAAAGTAGGAGGCAAATTGTAAGAAGAATGTCAGAACCTATTAGTGAATTTGGGTTAGGTAGAAAAATACTGTTTTAGTAGTTTGGTAAATAATTCAGCACAAATAAGAATGACCGAGGAAGAGTCACTAGATTTTGTGCTTAAAAGATTTTTGGTGCACTAAGGGGAGACAATTTGGCTCACATGGTAGGGCATAAAAGTCTTTTACAAGGAGTTTGAAAGTAAGGCTAAGACAGGAACAAAAGGTTTGCAAGAGAAATGGAGAGTGGACAAACAACATAAGCAGTTGATGGATCTTGGGACTTTTATTTTTAGGATATTTAGAAGAGAGCCAGAATAAATATAAATCCTGAAGTTGAAAGTTGGAAAGATATATAACTAATAGAGCCAGACACCCCAGGCTACAGAAAGCAATGGCATCAAGGACCCAAGTATAGAATAAACTTTAGAGGAGATAGTCCCTCTTGGAAATTGAAAACAAAGAAGAGGGAGAGGTGAGGGTGCAGATAAATTCTCATTTTTCTTGAAATGCAAGTAAAGGATAATCTTTAGCTTCTCAGTAGAAGAGGAGGTGAGATAATGCCAGATAAGTGTAAAGAGTTGGAAAGATTTTTAAAGCAGCCAGTATGAGGAGTGGGATGAGAAGTCAATGAAGGAGAATAAATAGATATTTATTGTTCCTAAATAGATATATATTGAGAACTGTTTATCTTACAGCGTGGTGCTGTATGGATGTAAGAGGAAACATGACGAGTGTTTCTGTACTAGGGAAATCTAGTTGGGGAATCATTACACAAAAATAGCTGCATGTAAGAAAGTACAAGATAACAACCAAGTGAATGTATGAAGTAACTGTCAAACAAATTCAAAGATAGCAAAAAAAATGTTTCTTAAAAACGTAGAGTATGTAGAACTTAGGCAGGCAAAGATGGGTGATAATTAGAGAAGGTTTAATGGAGATAGTTAAAATCCAGTCTGGACATAAAGAAAAGGTGGGTTTAAAAACCTTTATAGGTATAGATGTGTAGAGAGGGGACATCACAGGCCCAGAACTTAAAATCTATGGGACAAAATGTAGAAGCATCAAATTAGCTCACTTTTCCCCGGGACAGTCTTCATGTAATCAGATTACATCTGGATTCTTTTTCTAGAGAACTTTGTGTGGCAAGCTAAAAGTTTGGACTTTTTTCAGGAGACATTAGAGAGACACTGAAAGTTTTTATAGAATTATATTAGGGACAATATAAAGTTGTGTTTTAGTAACATTACTGTAGCAGAGGTGAAGTGCAGATTGGAAAGCTATAGTGACAGTCCAGGTGGAGGCACTTAATACTTCACTATTTTAATTATCTTTACTACTTAAATTCTATTATGTCCTATAATTGCCAGATAAATCCCTGGTTTTACCTCATTGTCATAGATTCATTAATTTCCCCTTTTTATGTATCTTCCATGTCTGAAGATTTTTGGTCCTTTAATTCTCCTAAATTTTCAGTCTTCTCTTTAGTTCCTGTTCTTTCTTGACCTCTGCTGTTTTTCTGTGTTCTTTTTTATATGAACTTTCCTGCTTTCTGTTCAGAATTTATTCAGAGTAGACCCATGCACTTCAGCTTCACTGTAGAGAATTCCAATAAACTGATGATGCTGTGTGTCATTCATTTCCTAATGTTACTGATATATTCCATAATATTTGCTAAGCTTTAGTGGTTATTAATGTTTTATGCTATCCTATTACATAAGCTCGGTAAGATACTTCTGTTTTTTTTTTTTTGGTATTATGACTAACAGGTGAGCATATTAAATTCAGTGTGGTTGTATTTGTGCGTGGAAGATAAGGATAGTAGCTCTTGTAACTCTATATATAGTTTCTTACCATTTTATTGAATTTTCACTCAATTTTAATTAAATTTGAAAGTCCTTAAAATTAAGGTCAGAAATTTATATATTAGTTTGATCCTGGTGCTTTTCTTAAAATATCAAAGTATTACTGTTTGTTTCTATCTGGATAAATTGTTTTTCTATTTAATTCTCTATTTCTGCCATCTCTTATAGTTACTTACTTTCCAAAATTTGTGAATATTAAAATATGTAACATGAAAATATATAAGAGATGAAGAATGAATACAACAAAATCTTGATTCTGGAATACGGATATATTTACACAAACATAGTATGTTCCTGAAACTATTTAAATTAAAAGAATCATTATAGTCGTTTCTTGAAAGTATCCTGAAATTATTTTTGTTACTTAAAAAAAAGTTACCTAAGGCTTTAGAAATTAGAATTTCTGAGTAATTAATGCTTAATGCAAATTTCACTGAAGGCGATAAGAAAGCATCAAGTAAAATTGACTTTTTAATTATAAATGAAATATTTTATTAATGATTCAGTCCTGCACTTCTGCTTGAACATTTCTACTAGAAAGTATTTTCTTCCTTTTTTCCTCAGTGAAAGAGGACAATCGAACTTGGTTTCAACTCAAGGGTTAAAGAAAGGGTGAAAAAAATGAATAGAAGAAAGTCTTCATTCTGGAAAGAGACCCATTTTGAAGTTCAGCTGGAACAGACTATTTTATAATTTTGTATAAAAAATTATATCTTCATAATCAACTTGATTATTTGATTTATAATGTAAAAAGCATAATGTTTCTTATGGTCTATAAATAACCACTTTTTTCAAGCATGACAGATTAAGTGAAAACAAAGAGAGTGAACAAAAATGGGACGGTGTCATGAATCTGTATCTGCCCTGAGGAAGAGGGCAGTACTTTTGGGGAGCGCAATTTACATGAGCATCTGGGTCTTTTGTCATGTTTTGGATGGATGACCTGAGTCTGATATATTGGTGAATAGCATTAACAAAGGTCTGGTTGTCAAAGGCTAGGAAGAAAAATGCAATTAGCCACAGCAATGAGGTTATGTCTATGTTTGGGGATAAAGAACCAATACCTAAATGGCAATGGAAAACACTGGAATGATACCATTAGCAAAAGGCCAGATTTGTGTGTGTGTGTGTGCGTGTGTGTGTATACCTATTATACAGTCATCTTCACTCAGCAGGTTATACAAAAAAGTCATTTCTTTGGCAATGTTTGACTCATGTAATAAGAACAAATATGTACCTGTTACTAAAGAAAATGACCTGGTGAGCTTGATGAATTTATAACTCATAACACACTAATTTCATCAACCTAACATGTGTAATTCTGTTTGTTTCTATTTAAAGAAAATTAGAATTAAATAAAGGGCATTTGGAGGCCGAAAGAAGTTTGCTCTTTTTTCAGTCTCATTTTTTTCTGTAAACCTTGCGATCCAGCATAGAGAACCATATCTAATCTGCCAATTAGGTCAGGCCCCAGGATAATCAATCTCCTTAACAGCAGATGCCTTGTTTTAGCAAATGAATGCTTGGTTTCAAAAGAAGTTTTGTGTTGAGAGAACACTGCAGTTGGCATGGGTGATTAGAACTCTTTTAAATCCTATAAAAAGCTTCTATAGATTGTTTTATGCCCACATTTTGTGAACTGAAGTAAATGCTGTATATATTTATCTTCAAATGAACATGGTGGGGACTTTATACAGCCTGTAAGGACATCTATATGCATACACATGCAATTATTTGCAGTCTAAAATGTTTATGTTCATTTGAATTAAACTGTGTTTTTGATAAAATTTAAAATGCATTTATATATATTTTGAGTAGGTGCTTTTATATTTATTAAGTATGCTCCTTAATAACAATAACTTAATTATTAGAATAGCATTGTTTGAACTGAAAATATAATGACAAGTTAATATGATTTTCGTGTTTGTTGTTTGGACCACTTTTACATTAGTTTTTAAGTGCCCTTCTTTCTATCTGATGCCTGCTCAGTTCATACTTGTAATTTGTGTTAATGGGCAATGTGTGTGAGATAACTTTGAAACCAGGAAAAAAAAATTTTAAATTAAATTTTATAAACAATATATATTAAGTCAAAATAATATGTTGACTTATTTTGCTCACAACTTATTTGATATAAGATAAATTGAAATATAATGAAATAATTTTCTGGTATAATTTAAAAACCCTAAGCCTCAATAAATTATTTTAGATAATCATTGTTCAAAATCTGATTGCTGGAACTTGTCAGTGATACTCAAATACGTAAAACACTTCAGGAGGCTACATAAATATGTATTTCCTTTTTTCAGGAGAGCCGATTACATAATCAAAAGCATCAAGTTGAAACATTTGCAAGGTAGGTGAGAAAAAAAGCATTCGCCAGCATATTTTGGATTTTATCATTTCAACTTTATTGCATATGGTTTGTTCTTCCAATTTTTGTCTCCTTCTCAAAGTGTTTCAATCTGCTGAATCTATGGAAAGTTAATATTTTCCATAGTGAAGGCTGATAAGACATCTGAGGAAAAATTAAAAACAGATGATCTCTAATTTAAAAAACATTTGATGCTAATTACTTCTTACCTTTTCACACAAATGTTGGTAAACGTATAGGATTACATTACTTTTAAAGCGAGATTTTAAAGCTAAATTGATAAAGTGGAGATCCCGTGAGATAATTAGATGTTCGTATAAGATTTTAAAAATACAGACATTCTTAGTCATACAAAAATACCAAAAGACATTGTGACAATCTACTTTTCCTTATTCTAATTTGTAACAGGATTTTAATATGGTCAGTAGAATGGCTTCAGCATATTTACAACCTTCAAGTTTTTAACTAGAGAACAGTTTGATGTCTAGATCTGTTACTCAGCTACAGTTTGGATTTAAAACTTAATTTAATTATTATAGCATGTAAGACAGTTTACATTTGATTTAACAAAATTAACAGCCTTTTATGATAGCTTTCTTACTCAGATATCAGTGGTTTTCAGAATGCAAAGATTTCTAAACTGAAATTTCTTTCTTATCATGATGCTCTTGTGGCTAAGTTTATACTTACATTATTTCTTCTTTACACACACACACACACACACACACACACACCCCACACACACAGCATAATATGAAAAAAGAAAGCTTGAAAGAAAATATACCAATACATTGCCATTTTTGGATGGTGAATAGATTTGGGTGATCTGTAGAACCTTCTTTATTGTATTATGAAGGCTTAACTTTTTAATCATTACTTTATAATTCGGTAGAGTATAGCTATTTTCATTCTCAAAAACATAGATATTATAATCCCAGTATAGGTGATATATTGTTTTCACAAAAATTTTATAATAAAGGTTGATGATAATTTTTTCCTATCCTCTTGAATCTGTAAAAATCTACAAGAAAAAATATCCTGTTCTTTCCTTGGCATTACTAATTTGTTCATGGTGTTGTTATAAACCACTCAGCGGAGTTACAGTGTGAACTGTAAGGGGTATGTTATGCCTAAAGGATCCCAGGAATGATCCAAGACAAACTGCAAACATGGTAAACAGAAATTGTTCCTCTGTAGGATCTCAGGACCCCTCTACACTGTTAAAAATTATTGAAGACCCTTGCAAAGAACTTTGTGTATGCAGGTTATATTAGTATTTATCATACTAGACATTGAAACTGATAAATTTAAAAACTATTTACTAAATCATTTAAAAACAATGAAAACATATTATATGTTAACATATGTAATATAGTTTTTTCTGAAACAAAACAAAAGCCAAAAATATATATACATATATAGTGAGAAGAACGGCACTGTTTTACATTTTTGTAAATGTCTTTAATATAAGCCTTAGTAGGAGACAGCTGGATTCTCTTACCTGCTTCTGCATTCAGTTGGGTGCAATATGGTGTTTTGTTTGAAGTAAAATCTGGCTTTACACAAATATGTAATTAGAGAAGGAAGGAATACTTTAATAATTTTCAGTTGATTGTGGATATTCTTTAATATTACAGTAAATCTCAACAAGTGATAATCTCTTACGGATTGGTTGCATTGTGAAATCTAAAACCATATAAATCAACTTTTCAGACTTTTGAACCTAACCTGTTTCTTAAGGAAGATTTCTGAAAGGTGTCTAACTTTTGCTTTAAAGAAATAAATGGTAATATTCCAATCATAATAAGACAATCTTAAGCACATTCTGAAGGATATTTTAACAGTTTACTTTTCATCAAAGTTATTTTATAAAATATTCAAGCACTGCCTAAGTCTCCAATCCTGATTTCTTAATTTTTAGATTGATTGAATTTAAAGTTTATTATTTATTAGATGGAATAGCTCTTAAAGCTTTGCTTTTTAACTTTCTGCAGGTAACTTTTTGTATGTTAATTAAGCAGGTGTAAACAGCATAGGAAAAAGTAAAGGTTTGATCAGTGACTTTTTTCACATGGTGCTCCACTTTTCTAGATTTCTGTCCTCCCTGTAAGTATAAAAGAAAGTAATTTTCAAACAAAACCTTTGCTTGAGCTTGAGAACTGAAATACTGATTTCTAAAAGAAAATGTTTCAATGATAATGGTTTATTACCAGAAACTAAAGCCAAAATACACATTTTCTTTTATGACACTCATATAATATGTCAACATTATTAAAAATAATTTAGAATGTTCTCATGTAGTGCTTTTAACAATGTTTTCTTTCTCTAGTAAGCATTTGTACAAAGTGTTACACCAATTAACTGATTATAAGAACTCTGTAAAAATCCCTTTTCTTTCAAAATTGAAGTCTGGTTCTTTCCTCTACCAGACCTCTTTTTTGAATGACAAAAACAATGATGTCATTCTTTACTCACAGGTCAAATAGCAGTGCTAGAGGCTGTGGCTATCTAATACATTCAGCATGTTGAGTAAACCATCCTTTACCTTCTGTTACTGTCCCAGAATAGATCTGGTTCTCCTATTGTGCACTCTCATCACCGCCACATTGGGTTTGCCCTCATTGCACTCAGAGCAGTTATTTATTTGCACAAACACCTGACTAACATTAGACTCCCTCATTACACTGCAAACTCTAAATAGGAAGGAGCCTGCTCATTCTGCTTCCTTCTTCCATTATATGTCCAGGACCTAGGACAGTGTTTGATACATAATGAGAACTCTGTAATAGTTGCTGAATATCTGAATATAAACTTAATACCACTGAGAAAGTACGGGAAGATTCAATGGACTTTAGAGTCTCCAGAATATTTCCCTTACACTTTAATGAGTTTCTTCATTCTTCTTGAAATTGGCTACTCTGATACATCTCAGTTCTTGTGTTTTTTTTCTCACTTCCTTGACTATTTCATTCTTGCCTTCTTTCATGCTTTTTGTTTTCATTTCAGGTTCTTTAAGGAAAGCACAAAGTTCTGTCTTGCCCTTTACAATTTTTTTTTTTTTTTTTTTTTTTTTTTTTTTTACAAACTGTCTTTCAATTAGCCATAACCTTTGTGATTCTCCAGTTGAAATCTTCACTGTCAATCTCTCCTTCAAACTGTGGTTCTGCATCTTTGAGGTTTTACCTATATACTTCTACTAGATGTCCATCCTATTAAACTTAATAGGTCCATGACTAAATTTGTCACTTTTCATACTAAACCAATAATCCCTTGTGCTTGCCTGTATGTCCCAGCAGAATTTCTGCTCTTCCTACTTTTATGTTCTTACATCTTTGCTTCCCCTAAAACCTATCATGTCTCTCACTCAGGGTCTATGTCTTCATTCCAGTTATATTAGCTCACACCACTGCTATCTCATTTCATTTCTCTCCTGTTGTAGTGGCCTTTACACTGCTCCTTCTATGTTTTGGCCCTCTTGGCTTTAATCCATCCTGTGTGCATATGGGAGAATAATCTTTATCAATCATTTTTAAAATCATGTAATTATCTTTAAAACTTTGTCAATGGAAAATGTGAATATTGCATGGATATTTGATGGTATTAAGGAATTATTGCTAATGTTTTTAGGTGTGAAAGTCATATTGGGCCAGGCACAGTGGCTCACACCTATAATCCCAGCATTATGGGAGGCCAAGGCAGGCGGATCACCTGAGGTCGGGAGTTCGAGATGAGCCTGACTAACATGGTGAAACTGCATCTCTACTATATGTACGAAATTAGCTGGGCATGGTTGGACATGCCTGTAATCTCAGCTGCTCATGAGGCTGAGGCAGGAGAATTGCTTGAATCTGGAGTTTGCAGTGAGCCAGGATCTTACCACTGCACTCCAGTCTGGGCAACAGAGTAAGAGACTCCATCTCGGACAAAAAAAAAAAAAGTCGTATTGTATTTAAAAAGAGGTCCTCATTTTTATATATACATACTGAAATATTTATGAATAATTGATGTAAGTCTGGAATTTGATTCAAGTAATATGTAGTAGGAGAACATGGATGGGAATACAGATAGGGTAAGATGGGCCAGAATTGTTGTTTATTGGGACTAGATGATGGGTACATGGAATTTTACTATACTTTTCTTTATAATCACATAAATTTACATTTGAAATTCTGCATAATAAATAAATAAGTCAATCATTAATTTCTTTCATTGCTTATAAAATAGAGTCCAGGCTCTTTATTTAGGAATTCAGAGACAGAAACCAAAACTAGTCTGTGTTTTCAATGTCATTGGCCAATGTCTTCTACATATATCCTCTGCTGATGTGACAGACCAGCAGAGTCTGTTGGTATGACCATCTTTCTCCAGTAGTCTGTGCTCCTATACACTTCTTACCATGTGTACCTTGGCTGTAGGATATCTGTAAGTGTTGTAAATATCACTGGTAATAGCTGTCATCCAATGACCAATTCCTCAGCTTTTTTCTCCCTTGAGTGAGTTCCCCAGAAGTCTCTAGTGGACTTGAATCCCAGTTGCACATACTGATAAGTAATCTACCATATGTGTTACCTTTCTTTCCTTTCTTGTCTTCTCTTTTCTACTGCCCATTTCAGGGGCCATTTGCATCAAGTCTTAATATTAAAGTCTGCTCTTTCAATCTCACTCAGCTGCAAAATGGTTCCATTTCTGGCTCTTTGTTCAAATCAGTTTCTTG